TACTTTAATTTTCTATAAATTTTTGGATTAAAAAAATTTTTTGAAAATTATTTTTTGATAGAAATATTAAATAATAAGAAAGTTTAAAGTCTGCAGAAAGGTGCCAGGTAGGCCACAGGTCTTCCGGCTGATTAAAAAAATATAAATTACAAGATAACCTAGTGATGGATTGAGAATCATTTTTCACTTAATTTAATGAACAAAAATTTTTCTTAATTAAAAAAAGGATGTTAATAGCCATTGGTCAGCTGTCCTTTAAATTTTATTTTTACTGAAAAAATTTGTGTACTTTTATTTTTTTTTAATTCCGAGGTGTAATAGTTGTCCTTTTCAATATTTAAAAATTTTTAAATTTATTTTCCTCATATATTTTTAGAATTAAAGACTGGAGATCGAGCTGGGTCTGGACCAAGGCTTGGGTTTTTCCTGTACCCAGAATCCAGGCCAAGGCATTTTTTGACCTTCCTGGATTTTTTCTGGGCCAGGGTTTTTCCTGGATTACAGGCCCAGGATCCGGCCCAGGTCAACAAATCAAACCCGGAACCTAGGAACAGGCCGTGGCTTTTCAAAAATTTCGATCATTAGTAAAGTCCTAAAACGTTCTTAAATGCCTCGACTTGGAAAAATTAGCCAATTAATTTTTCGACTTTCTAATTCTATTCTATTCGATCTTAATTTTAAATCTTCCCTAGACGTCTCTTTAGACTTTAAATTTACAAATTTCCAAGACCGTCTAGGTAAACTCCGAGATATTTTAAATTTAAGTATCCCCTTTCCCCCACTTTTCTCGTTTTCTTCAAAAATTTTAAAGTCTTCCTTTCTATTGTTCCTCTTCTTCTTTTTTAAATTTGAAAGGGAAAATACAAAGAGTGGAAGGATAAAGAATGAAAAAAATTTTTCTGATGGACATTTAAAGTAGAAATCTCTTCTCTTTTTCAACGTTTACCAAGAAAACTATATTTAGTAACAGCTGGAGTAACCGACCACACAGCAAATATTTGAGAAAGAGCCAGTCGGAAATGAAAGGAAAAAAGAAGTGAATTTGTGAAACGAGAAGGGAAAAAAGTTAAAAAGCAAATTTAGATGTCCGAGAGTTAAAAATGAGTCAATTTCGGGAGAATGGATGGAGGACAGATTAAATGACGTAAACGTGTCCAACTAAAATAAAATAAATGAATGAAAGAAAAAAGATTGAGGAGCAGGAAGAAAGGAGAAGATTTAAATGGAAGAGTGGATGAAGAGAAGGAAGAAAGAGAGAATGATGAGGAGGAACAGAGCTGTGAGCCATGGCGTTTTGGCGTCCAGTTTTGGCCTATTTTGGCGTTATGGCGTTTGGCGTGTTTTAAGAATGTGAAAAATAGGCGTTTTCGCGCCTCGCAAAAATTTTGGCGCACAGTTCTGGTAAGTAAAGGAAGGAGGACGAGAATGAAGAATATTAAGAGAAGAGAATGGATAAAATGAAGAGAATGAAGAGTGAATGAAGTGAAGAAACGGAAGAGAAGGAAGAATGATTGCATAATAGATGGAGTGTCCCTTCCACCCCTAAGCACAGTCTCTGAGAGGGCCATTCACTGCAATGGACGTCTTAAAAGAATTTTTGCCGGAAAGGACGGATGACGAATTGACATACACACAAAGGCTAAAAGTACACACATTTCACTTGAAAAAAGCCCTTCTTTTTTCTCTTTTAAATTTCCCACTCTCTTCTAGTTTTAAGTCGACTGACCGGTCACTCTCTCAAATTACATAAGCGCTCGGCTGTCAGTTAAATATATGGGGGAGAATAAAGAATATATAAATGTGCACTTGTGTCTGTTCTCACGGAATAATGACAAAAATGTGTATTTTAGAGTATGGGAATTTTCTTGGCTCTTTAAAGGACTTTCTGAATATTTCATTATGAATACTAGATGGCGGTACACCTCAATTGAGTCCCGACTCAATTGAGTCCCGGGCCTAATAACTTATGAAGGGACGGTCACTTTTTGTAACTCTTGGTACCATTAGATAGGGCATTAAATAGGCTACAATATACCAAAAAATCAAAATTCCTAACCGACTGGTAAAAAAGTTATGATCGATAAAGTGCCGAAAAATCAGATTTTTTTGAAAAAGTTAGTTTTTAAATCATAACTTTTTTGTCAATTGGTCAAAAATTCTGATTTTTTGATATGTTATAGAGCTTTTGATTCCCTATCCAATGATACCAAAAACATTAAAAATTATCAACCCGTACTTGAGTTATAGGGCCGGGACTCAATTGAGCCGGGACTCAGTTGAACTGCTCCGCTAGATGGACTTTTAATAACCGAAATACTCCCTACTAGGTTTACCCGAAACTCGAAACCAGCACCAGTTTCAAAAATCACATTTATGTAGGTGTGAAAATCGCCCTCGTATTACAATAATTAAAAATAAAATAATGCCTAAAGGTCTATCCTACCCCTCTGTAGGGTTACCCTAAACACAAAATTCAGAATTTTTCAACATGAAACCAGTCAAAGCTGTTGTCAATATAATACCCGGCAATAATATATCCGGCTGTCACTAAAAATTCAGCTTAACTCGAAATAAGAATTTTCCATTAGAATAAGAAAAAAATAATAAAATAAAAATACAAAAATAAAAGAAAAGAAAAATTCTAACAAAAAAATTCCACCAAAAATTAAAAGAACGAGAATTGCACAGAAATTCAAGAAAATGATTGCAATAAAAGAGAAAATATATAAAAATTTCAACGGGAAGAAAAAGAAACTTTTAGTAGAAGGGAGAGGAAATTGCACAATTTTTCCCTTCTTTTTTCTTTCAAAAAGGTCAGTTTTCAGTGGCTGGCAGCGTCCGCTGGCTGGACGGAATAGAAATGAGAGACTGTCAAGTCTTCAAAATGACCGATGGTCTCTCGCCAAACAGCTGTGTGGGTGGGCAGAAATGCAAACATTTTTAGTATATTTTTAGCTGTTAAAACTGCTGGGGGTGTGCAGAAACTTTTGCAAGGGGGGAGGGGGAAACGTAAATTGGTGTGTCGGGGATAAAAAATCTGACAATGAAAGTAAAGTGAAATTTTTGGAAAGGGAGAAGGGTAACGATATTGGGGAAATAAAATTAAATTATAATAAAATGGATGGAATTTGTATATAAATTGTAAAATAAATATTGTAAAAAATTGTTAAAAGAAGACAAAACTGAGGATATAATCTGAGGATATAAGGGGTAATCTGGGAATATAAGGTAGCTGATTGGAGATATTAAATGGATATTTTGGATGGGTATTTTGCGATCCTACTTACTACTCTCGAAAAAAGTAAACCCCAAAATGGACTTCATAGGCAGCAAGAGCTACAGCCATTGCCCCAGAAGGTCCAGCCAATTCAACAATATAAGTTCACCCCCACAATGATGCCAATAAAGGCTCACTGTTCTTCCATTATTGGATTAGGTTGACCTCCTCTTGATTAAGTCGAGCTCCTCTCAGATGTTCCCAATATTGTAGAATAAACATGATTAAATGTTTAAAGGGCGGTACGACAATTGAGGATACGCACTTGGGGATATGACAAATGAGGACGACATTTGAGGACGACAATTGAGGATCTGACATATGAGGACGAAATGAGGACGACATATGAGGTCGTCCTTATTTGTCATATCCCCAAGTGCGTATCCTCAATTGTCGCAACACCGTTTAAAGAATACATCGGTCAGTATTGCCAAAAAAAACTAAAATCAACACAAAAGATAAACAAAGAATCAATAAAACAAATAACAGAAACCGAGGAAGGTATAAAAAATTTAAAATAAAAGAAGCTTGAAATCAGCCCTTCGATGATTTAAAAATATTTCCTTATTGACCATTTTGAAAAACAATTTGTTTTAGATATATTGTGTAATTTATGCGAGTAGTCATTTTAGAATTAAATAAAAAGAAATGAAGAGAAAGAAAAGAGAAATGAAAAAAAGAAAAAAAGACAAAAACTGTAAAAGAGACAGAGAAGCGAAAATAATTAATAAACGCATAAATAATTAGTGTTCTCTACACTCCTCTATGAACCGTCTAAAATTTGTTATTTTTCAAAATTAATTATTTTAAAATAAATAGCAAAATATTGGGCGCCCCATAAAGTCCACGTGCTTATGCAAGTGGCAATCAAGTCCCCCTGCCTTGTGCAGGGGGCACCCAAGTCCCCCTGCCTTGTGCAGGGGGCACCCAAGTCCCCCTGACTTGTGCAGGGGGCAACTCAAGTCCCCCTGCCTTGTGCAGGGGGCAACACAAGTCCCCCTGCCTTGTGCAGGGGGCAACTCAAGTCCCCCTGCCTTGTGCAGGGGGCAACACAAGTCCCCCTGCCTTGTGCAGGGGGCAACTCAAGTCCCCCTGCCTTGTGCAGGGGGCAACTCAAGTCCCCCTGCCTTGTGCAGGGGGCAACTCAAGTCCCCCTGCCTTGTGCAGGGGGCAACTCAAGTCCCCCTGCCTTGTGCAGGGGGCAACTCAAGTCCCCCTGCCTTGTGCAGGGGGCAACTCAAGTCCCCCTGCCTTGTGCAGGGGGCAACTCAAGTCCCCCTGCCTTGTGCAGGGGGCACAAATTTTGGACCGTCCCCTGCCTTCGTGCAGGGGGCATAAATTTTAGACCGTCCCCTGCCTTCGTGCAGGGGGCAAAATTTTGGAGTGTCCGTGTGCCGTTTTGTACATTGGACCGTCCCCTACTTCGAAGGGGGTATTTTATCTTCTGTTTTAGCAATTGTAGCTGCTTTACTTCGGTTATGTTCAGAATTATCAACGCTACATGAAAGGCAAATGGATCATGATTTGTGTAAAGCAAATGGACCCTATTAGCCCAGCTTCAATCCACTGATAAGGCCATTTTTTTCAGAGGTGGGATATTATTAATTTAAGCTAATCCTCTAAAATTTTTTCCTTTCTAAAATTTAAAATGTGATCGAAAACATTTATAATATAACATATGTACACTCCAAACATATGTATAAAAATACAAATCACGCATTGCCGCTCTTTACAACTTGTACTTTTAAATAAAAATTGGCCTCATTCTGATGAATGGCCGAATGGAAAAAAGGGAATGGACGGCTAAAAGTAAAAAAAGAATGAAAAAGGGAATGTAAAGCTGCAAGTGTGTGTGAGTAAAAATGGGGTAAGGGGGAGGGGGGGTAGCTGGCAGCAATGAAATAAAATTGTGGACGGGAAGGAGGGTGGAAATGAGTAAAAAGGAATGGACGATGAAATGCTCTCAAATAGGAAAAAAAGGAAAAATGGACCCAAGGAAAAAGAATATAAAAATGAAAATGGACGGAGAGAGGGGGGCATTTGTCGAGAGTAGAGAAAGAAAATCTAAAAAAAATATTAAAAAAGTAGGGGGAATTCAATATGAGCAGGAAGGAATAATTACAGCTGAAAGGACCTAAGGGGAAGAAAAGTTAAAAAATAGAAGGTTGAAATTCAGTCAAGAATATCTAAAATTATTTTGAATTGTTGCTCAATGCTGCCAGCTACCAGTTACTTTCGTGGGCATTTGCCAAAAAAAAAATTCCAAAGACTTCAAAAGAGACATTGACATGTTTTTTTCTAGGAATCAAAATTAGACCGGCTAAGAGTGGCTCAACTACAATGCGTCCAGTCAAAGTTTATAAATCACATAGGTCGGGTATGTTCCTTCTTCAGGATGTCCTTCTTTAGAACCTCCTTTGGGACGAATGGCGAAACGGCACACCCCTGTTTATGTACTACATATGACGTCCAACATCTCAATAATTTATTCCGGCTTCCAAAAAAGAGTATATACTCTCGAAAATATCTCAAGTCTCTCGACTTATGGCCACAGGGTAAGTAAAAGTACAAATGTACGATTACGGAAGAAAGGAAGGAGGAAGTGAAAAAAGTAAAGAATTTTAGTGAAAAAGTGTAAGAGAGAGATAAGAGGAACATTCATTCACTGGAACATGAGAACATAGAATGAGTGGACATTGGGCGCTATATATATAACGGACCCTTCCTTCTCTCTCTTCCGCCTCTTCGCTTTAAAAGATGAAAGGAAGTGTGTGGTAAATTTTGTTCTCAAAAAAGATATAGAAATTTTGGTGGAAGAGGGGGGATGTTAAAAGTATAAAACATGCACACACACATGACAGCCGGTTGGCGCATTATTTAGTAGATGAGAAAAATGTGCACAAAAGTATTGGCCAGTTTTCTCTCATTTTCCCCCTTAGTTTTACTAAAAATTGAGGGGAATAAACGAACGGGCGAATTGAGAGAGAAAAGAAGGAAGAAAAAAAAATATATTTTTGAGAGAATGGACGAAAAAGAAAAAAAAATGGACGGACATTAGCTGGGTGGTCACATATTTTTGAGCTGTACTTTTGTTGAAAAAAGCAACAAAAAAACTTTGAAAAATATGTATTTTTTGGCGAAAAGTGGTAATAATAAAATATTTGCGGACTTAATTTTGCGGATAAGGCTTGAATAAAATGATTTTGAAGCAGTATTGCAACTACCAATTTTTTAAAAGTAGGATGAGGTTGTAACAGGTTTATGAAGGAATTGAAAACTTGTTTAAACTTTAAAAATTCAACTGAACGAGTCGCAAAACTTTTTTTGAAGCAAATTTTCGCAGCAAGTTTCAGCAGCAAGCAACTTTCTACAGTATTTTGAAGCAATTTTCTGAAGCAGGTTTCTGCTTTCTGAAGCAAATTTCTGCTGAAACTACCTGTCGCGAGGAAGCAACTACCTCTCGCCAGGAAGCGAGGAAGCAAGAGAGAAGGAAGCAATATTTTGAGAGATAGAAGCAAGTTTCTGCTGCAACTTTCTGCTGCGAGTTTTACAAATTATAAAATCCCCTTTACATCAATCCGCAAAATTAAATTCCGCAATTAGATCAAAGCAGAAAATGACTAGTAGTATTAAAAATCCAAAGGAATGATTGTTCGCTCGGATGTTTTTTGCGTATAGTTGTTCAGTGTTTGTGTGGAATGCGCCGGCGGCTATGCTATAGAGAGAAATATTTTTTTGAAGGGAGAGATGGATGATCACAAAAATATATATTTAGTCTTCGTACTAACAGCCGAATTATTTTTTTATTTATTTATAAAAATAAAAGTACAGCTCTAAATAAAAATTACAAAGGAACCACCCACAAAGGAGGAAGAAGCAAAAAAAATCCCTCCGATTGAGAGCGGAAAAAAATAAATAAATAAATGAGAGAAAGATATATCGCGCGAACAACGAACGCGCAGCGATATAACGAACATTTTTTTGTATGGATATTTATTTATCTAAAAATGTATACAAAAATAGATTATGTAGTAGTAGATGTACTTGTAGAATAGATTTTTTAATGTTAGATAATTTTTCTTGGATTTTCTGACAGAATTATTAAATAATTTTTGAGAGAAATCAAGTTTAAAACGGAAGAAGATATGCTCAAATAATTACCCTGGGTAATTATTTGTATTTAAACCTCTCGCTAGAGAGGGTAGTTAATCGGCAGGGGACAGTTATTTGAGAGAGGGTAATCATTCGAGGGTATATCTTAAATGTTTGTTACTCGATGGCAATAGAGAGAGAATATTAGTTCAGAAGTTGTAACAAGATTGTATCTTAAGGTTGGAAACTTAAGCTGGTAAAGCACATTTTAAGCTATAAAAATGCCAAAAATTAAATTTTTAGCTTAAATAAACGAAAAGATATGAATTTTTAAGTAAATCATAATTTCCATCATTTCTCTTAAAACTTGAATTAATTTTTAGAAAATACCGGAAAATTTAATTGTGCCAAAAACACAATTAATACAAGACGAATTGAAAGGAACACGTTATGATGTTCAATCTGGACCTATACAAATATTGGATACTAAAACAATTAAAATATTTGGGTTTATATTTCAAGGAGACAAAGCGCCAGGTGATTCTGGTGTTATTCTTGTCTTTAAAAATCTGAAATAAATTCTGAAAAAAATTCTGAAAAAATTCTGAAATTTTTTTTGGAATTTTATTAATCCTTGTTAAAGTCATTAAAACATTTCTGAAAAAAATCTGATTTTTTCTGAATTTTTTAATTTTAACAAAATTTAACTGATACCTATTAAAAAGACAAAGTTAGAGAGCACAGAGTAAGTTACTCTACTCTAGTCAATCACTTGACTTTAAGGCATATGTTAATTAGGTTTATTTGAGTCTTGACTCTATAAACGTATTGTGGATTAACTTGCTTGTATTTTCTTAACTTTATGAGCACAATAAAATTTTTTAAAAATTAAGACGGTTATTTCTATGTTGGCCGCGGTCTAAACATAACAAAAGAATCCGGGGTTAAAGCAGCAATTCGAGGGAGAGATACTTTTGACTCGTAAAAAATACTTCAAAAAATATTAAAATTGAAAACATTTTCAGAATAACCCCAATAAATGAGAGATATACCGGAGGGAAAGATATTTATGTTGAATTGCCTGATGGGTATGATGTTCAACATATTGACTGGATTTCTGTGGGGGATTTAATTTTATTTTTTAAATATTTTTATAAATTTTGAAGGTTTATTGTTTACATTTTGAAGTAGATTATGGACATGTATTTATTAGAAATATATCTCCTATGATACCCCCACATGTTCAAATACCTATAAGGGTGAGTTGAAGATCTAGAAGTTTTGTTTTGAATTTTTCGCTTCATTTTTGAATTCTGCTTCACTTTTTATTATTTTTATTTCATTTCCTCTTTCATTTTTTAAATCCTGCTTCATCCTTTGTACTCTGCTTCAGTTTCCGAACTCTCCTACACTTCCGGATATTTTTGCTTAATTTTTGGAACTTGCTTCGCTTTTTAAAATTTTGCTTCATTTTCTAATCTTTCTGCTTCACATTTTCAATTCTGCTTCATTTTCTGAATTCTGTTTCATTTTCTGACTCATGCATGCTTCACTTTTTAAATTTCTGCTACACTTTTCTGAAATCTGCTTCATTCATTGAATTTTACTTCACTTTCTCAATTCTGCTTCATTTTTTTAATCTTTCTGCTTTACTTTTAATATTCCCCATAATTTTATCAAGGCTGACGACATTTTTAAAGACAACAAGCAACTTACTTGGCATGTTAGTAACCTCCTTGGGACAGATTCTCAACTCAACTTTACCTTTCAATTAGGCCCTCCTGGAGGGATGAAAGGCCATAAAGTCGATAATTATTTTTAATTTTAAAATAAAAATTTTCAAAAAATTTTTAGTCGATGAGACACGTGCCTAAACCTCCCCCTTATGTTTGGTATGTTAATGGATATTTGGCTGATCTTTACCTGAAAAGAGGAATTACATATACATTTATGTAGATTTATAGATTTAATTTTAAGTAAAAATTTAAAATTTATTTTTAGAGTTGAAGGAGGTCAAAATTCATCAGTACCTCAGCTTTACAATCCTCTTTATTTGACTGATAGTATTTATGGAGGTTATTCAAAATTGAGCAATTCAGAAAAAAAAGTAAATTAATTTTGTAGTTTTATGAATTTTAATTAATTTTACAATTATTCTGATTACAATTCTAAATTACAATTGTTAATTACAATTACTAAAATAATTAAACTTGACGTGTCTATTAATTGTAAAATTACAATTGTAATTATGACAGGCGTCAAGTTTTACTATTATTTTTTGAACTAAATTCTGATTAAATTCTGAATTTATTTTTTCTTTAAGCATGCAGTAAAATATACCCAAGAAGAGTCTGGTCGCCTCTGTCGATGGATAGAAGAGGAACCCTTTGGAGAATTATCAGCAGATAAATATTCCTCTTTTGTTGATTTTAGAGAAACTTTGAGGTAATCGTTTACCTGATTTTTTATTTTGCTTCAAATAGTTTTATTATCTTCTTCATTTTTTAAAGGCTAGAATGTGACGAATCAGATGGACCTGGCATTTTAACATTCACGCCTAGTAAAGATACACCCAATATTTTATATTATGCGGTATGTTAAAGCTTATATTTTTAAAAATATCCAACCCCTTTTCAGAGTTATTCAAATTATCAAATGGGTGGAAGAATACAAGTTGTAGATGAATTCCCTGCTGATCTCAAATATATTGTTGTTGAGGTAAATTGTATTTTTATTTAATTTTATCGGGGTTTAATAACGTTTTAATAAACCTTTTACAAATTGTAAAAAAGGTTGGAATTAATTTGTATAAAATTTACAAATTGTGAAATAAGCAATAAACTTATTACAAATTGTAAAAAAGGTTGTAATTAATTTGTAAAAAATTTACAAATTGTAATAAGTTTGTAAAAAGTTGTAAAAAGTTTTACAAATTGTAAAATAAAGCTTTAATAAAGTTTTAATAAATTTACAATTTGGAGTCAAATTATAAGAAATTTTTACAATTTGTAATTAAGTTTTAGTTTAAATTAAAAACTTATTTAAATATAGCCATATCGTTACGACGCAAAACGGCATCAAGAAAGGATGGTACTGGCTAGGGAAAGTAATGGAAATGAGAGAAATACTGTAAAAATTCTAACTTGTGGCATTTTATTTATTTTAACTTTTTTATTTTTGTAAAATTTATTTAAAAATTTTTTTATTTATTCTTTAAAATTATGTAAAAATAAATATATAGTAAATGAAGTTGAGTGAAAATCTCCTTTTTATTAATCCTTTTTTATTGCCTAACAAATAATTTTTGAACTCCTGCCATGTCGCTTCACTATTCAAATTTGTTAGTTTGCAACGTTCACCGCGTTCATTTTCATTAACCCTATTCTACGTTTAAATTTAAACTTTGACTTGGATGGCATTCATTTTCTGGTTATTCTACTTGCTCTGAGGAAGATGACCAACATTGTGGATGGAAGGAATATTTACCTCTTCCCTTCAAATAAACATTTCATTATCAAAACAACGTTCACATACCTCCCCAACTTGCCATCTTGGATGGCATTCATTTTTTCAGTCTTTCATTGATTCATTTACTAAACTTTTACCTTAATAAATTTAAAGAATGAAGCATTTTTATTCTAAGAATTGTAATGCTTCTTTTAAGTTTTTACAAATTGTAAAAGTTGTAAAATAAAAATTTACTCAAATTTTAATAAATTACAATTTGCTGTAAATTAAAATAACCTTTTTACAAATTGTAAAAATTCTGATTTAATTTCTACAAATTGTAAGCATTAAAGTTCTGATTTAAGTTAATTTTTACAATTTGTAGAAATTAAATCAGAATTTTTACAAATTGTAAAAAATCAAGTTTATTTATTTGTTCTGATTTTAGCTATTAAATTAAGTATTAATTTAAACAAAAATAAAATGGAGGAAGAAATTGACGAAGTTGAACAACAATTAAATAAAAATACGAATAAGACTTGCACAAAAACAACTCGAAAAAGTAAAGAAAATAATTCAGAAAAAATAAAAGAATCGAAGGAATTGTCACCAAAAATTGAAAAAAGGAAGAGTTTAGACAACCCAAAAAATTCTACTTTTAATTCTTCCTTTGTACAACAACAATCACCACCTCAATTATTACCTGCTCCCCAACCTAATTATTGTTTTTATGGGGGATATCCACAAAATTCTTTGCCGTATTTTGGGGGAAATAATTATTCTCAATTTCCTCCTGGTTATTTTTGGCCACCTACGGGAAATCCTAATTTATGGCAAAATGGAGGATTGAATCCTTCGGGAAATGACGAAGATGAAGAAACTGGAGAAAATACAACAAAAAAGCAAAAGCTGCAGCATCAGCCAACTTTACCGGTAAGCTATAAAAATTGGGAAATTTCTCTGGTAAAAATTGTGAAATAAGTTGTAGGTTTTACAACTCTACCAATTGTAATAAGTTTTAAGTTTCGATCAGTTTACAATTTGAGGGAAGGGGGAAGGAATCAGGTAAAAAGTTGTAATTTTACAAATTGTAAATAAAGTTAATCAAGTTTTAAAAACTTATTGCAAATTGTAAAAAGTTGATAATTTGTTTTTAATAAATTTTCACAAATTGTAAAAAGTTTATTTTTTTAAAGTTTCACCCATCTACATCAACTTTTCCTCCTCAATTTTCTCCTTTTCAACATCTTTATTCTGTTAACAGCAATGGAAGTATTATGGGTGGTTTCTATCCTCCTCCAACCGCAGCACCAACTCCAACACCAACAGCAATACCTTTGTTTAATCCTTCTAGTGGATATTTTTATCCACCTCCTTATTATTTTCAGAATAATGCTGCTGTGTTTTTTAATCAGAATAATTTGAAAGTAAAGGAGGAAGTGGAGGAAGAAGAAGAAAATGATGAGGAGGAAGTGGAAGTAGATAAAGGAAAAGAAGAGAAGGAAGGAGAAAGTAAAGAAGTGAACGAAGAAGTCAAAATAGAAGAGAATTTAACTAAAAAAGAACAAAAGGATAATGAAGGAAAAATTAAGATGATTGGGGGAAGGAAACGTGAAATTGATGAAAACTCTTTTACAAAATTTCTGGAAGAATTAAAAGTTCCAAAAAATGTAATTTTAATAATTTAGAATAGTAAAATCAAAATTTATTCTACTAAACTTAAAAAACTAACTTAAGTTTAAGCTTAAGTTTAAAGTTTATTTAACTAAAACTTAAGTTTGCAATTAAGCAAACTTTAGTAAAACTTAACTTAAAACTTAAGTTTGCTAAAACTTTAATTACAAACTTAAGTTCATCTCTTTGCTTTCAAGTTTTAATAAACTTTATTTACAATTGTAAATATTAAATTAAATATACCTAATTCAGAAACACGATGAAAACAATAGCCCCTTCGTTTTGCCTGATCACATTAAGAGTAATAAGGACAAAGATGAAGTAGTTGAGGATGATTCGGAAAGATTTGTCTGTCTAATTTGTGGAGATGTTGCTGGTAAATTATAAAAATTTAATTTTTTTAAAATAAATTTTTTTAATTTTTAGGTAGACATTATGGTGTTATTTCTTGTGAGGGGTGCAAAGTGAATTTTATAAAAAATATTTCTTTAATTAAAAATAATTTTTAAAGGGATTTTTTCGTCGTACAGTGACTTTAGGCATTGATTTAAAGGCTAATTTTAAATGTAGCACTGGATTGGAGAAATGCAAAATGACTAAAGAAACTCGAAATAATGTCTGACCTTTTTATTAAAAAATTTCAAAACTATTTTAGTGCCCTTTCTGCCGTTTTAATGCATGCATTCGCATAGGTATGGATCGTGTTGCTTTGCTTAAACGTGTCAAAAAAATGTACAAATTGGATAACTCACTGATTACTCAAGATAAGGTGAGTTGGAAATATTAAAAAATATTTAAAAAAAAATTTTTTATTTTAGGGATTCAAAGGCCTTACAAAGGAGAAAGTATCACTTGAATTGGTCAATAAAATTTGGTAGAAAAATTAATTTTTTAACCAAAAAAAATTCATTTTTTAGTCTTTCATTTAAAAATAATTGCTTACATCGTCGAAACAATACAATAAACGGCTTGGAAGAATTTAAAAATTATTTATTTTTATTTTTTACACAAAGCATTGAAATTATTACAAATGATACTGAAAATAAAGAAACAACAAAAAATAAAGAAATTGAAAAATCAGAAGAGAAAACGAGGTTTTTAATTGAAACAAACTTGGATGCATTTTTGGTAAGTTTGTAAATTTATATGTATTATTAGAATTTTACCATTCAGAAGTTTGTAAAATTTAAAGTTTATTTTTTTTCAGAATTGTAAACTTGAAATTAAAATTTTATTTTTACAAATAAGAATTTTACAATTTGTAAAATAAATTTAAATTAACTTTACAATTTGTAAAATAAATTTAATATATTTTTACAATTTGTAAAATAAGTTTAAATTAATTTTACAATTTGTACTATTCCAAGTTTATTTTGTCAGAATTGTAGACTTGAAACCTTATTTTAACAAAATCAGAAATTTTAAAATTACAATTTGTATTTTATTTAATTCAATTTTTAAAGGTTATTCGACATGTTTTTATTGACGATTTACCTTTATTGAAACAATTTTGTAGCAATCCAGAAAATGAAAATGATGAGAAAACTGAAGTAAAAGAAACTGAAGATAATTTACTTGCAAAATTAATGACGAAGGTAATTTTTATAATTTTTACAAATTTGTAAAAATTTACAGGTCGACAAGTTTCGCAAAGGATTGAGTCCGGATGTGCTTCAACCGGAGGAACATGCACTTGTTTCGGCTTTAGGATTTTGTTTTCTTCTTGACTCTTGTGGTAATCAGATTTTAAATAAAAATCAGAATTTTTTTTAAAAATCAAAATTTTTTGAAAATCAAAAATTTTTATTTTAAGACGGCAGAATTTTACGTTCAAAAGAAAAGAAATCTTCTTCAACTTCAAAATCAGAACGAACATATTATGACCAGCTTCGAGATTGTTTGTATACACAAATGTCAATTCGAGACCCGAGCAGATTTAATCATAAGGCTTATAATGCATTGTGCCGTAATTTAAATAATTTATTTGAAACCACTGACTAATTAATTTAAAATTTAATTTTTCTTTAATTAATAGAAGAAAATGACCATTTTTTATATTTATTTTTTAAACAAATTAAAAATAAATTTTAATTTAAAAATATTTTTAATTTTTAATTTTTTTGTCTTTAACTTAAAATTCCACCGGTTTTGCAATATTCCCTTCTATTAGAAGGCAGTAAACTATTTGTATTTGTACTAGTAGGTGTTGTTTTGTAATGCTTTTGGTTAGTATTTTTGTTATTATTTTTGTCTCCCCCTTTTTGTGCAGCTGTGAAGGAGAATATACAAAGCACTGAATAGCATATTTGATCAGCCTAGAAAATTATTATTTTTTAAAATTATTCCATTTTTTATTCAGGACAAGACAAATAAAATATAAAAAAAATATTTGTTGACTAGGGTTGTTTCGGGGAGAATCACGGCGATACATTTTGGCAATGCCAGGCTTATAATGCATTAAGCCACGGAGGGAGGGGGGAATAACTCTATTACTGACTCCTAATCCGTATAATTCTGAATCCCTTGCTTAATTTTAGTCCTTTTATGGAAGATACTCAGATCTCGAACAAAAATGTCGGTTACCTATATTTTCGAGATATCTATCTAGATTTTCATATAACCCTGTAATAGAAACCATAAAATTCCCGTATCCTTTTTTAATAAATTTTGGAATTTTAAATTAATTTTAATTTAAAAAAGTGCAGATAATATATTTATTTTAAAAAAATAAAAATCACAAACATACACAAAATATTTTTTAAAATTAAAATTTACAAAAATAGAAACTAATAAAGTGCTATTAAAAACCACTAAAATAAAAATATAAAAATTAAATCTCCATAGGAAGTAATATTTGCCCCTCAAATTTTTTTATTCGCAATCCTCCATTTTCTGCTTCACCTCCATAAGAAAATGAATTTGAACGTTGTGAAGACCTTTGATTTTGAATTTGAAGAAAGTTGTCTTTGTTTAAAGGGAATTTATTGTTTAAGGCTTGACTTTTGTTATTGGCTTAAATATTGGATTAATAGGGAGAGGTTAAAAAAATTTTTTTTACTCGTCAAATTTTTTTCTTCTTCCTCCGAAGGCACTCTTAGAGGCAAAACAGCTCTGTGTTCATTTTCCTGCCGAGGAGACTTGTAAACTGTTAAGGCATTTTGATCAAAAGTTTTTTTGTTGTTTGGTGTAGGAGGGCAATCACCCAAAGCTATGTGAATAGAAAAAACACGATGCATACACCAGGCAATTGTTGTTGCCTGTAGAGTAAACAAAAGGTTAAAACAAACAAAACAGAGAAACACAAAACAACCGGAAAACACAAAACAAATCAAAAACAGAAACACAAACATAAGACAGTCAATATTCCGGAAGTGTTTGTATTATATTCCGGAAAACACAACAAAAGAAACAAAAACACAAAACACAACCGGAACAAACACAACAGTAAATATTCCGTAAGTGTTTATAATATATTCCGGAAAAACACAAAAAAACACAAAACAAAGAAACAAAACACAAAACAGAGAAAAAACACACCAAGCAAAAGCGTGCATATATTTAAAACACAACTTTTGTTTTATTAATTTTTAAATAAGGAAGGATACTTACCGCTGTGGAAATATAGCGTCTTTGGATTAGTCGACCACGTTTTCTGTCTATAAATTTATTTAATAATTTAATTTTTTTAATTAGAAAATTACCATATTCTTCAATTACAAACATGTTTCCACCTTTAATAAAAAATATATTTATTAAAATATTAAAATTCAGACCAAGAGTATTGCATTTCTTTATGTTGGAAAGTTCTATCAATTCCTGGAAGAAAAAAATTTATCTGGGTAAAAAATTTAATTTTAATCATTTTACTTGAGAATTAACAAATTGTATTTGAATTCCATCAATTCGAACTTTTAGCAATCCCCCCTCATTTCTCTCAACATCGTGTATTGGAAATTCTCCTCCTAAATCACGCCCAGCAGTTTGGTATTTTCCCCTGGAAGCAGCACGCTCCATTGCTGATTTCATAGCATTGTAAAGCTGACGGCACTGAAGAGAGAAAATACATAATTAAATTTTAATTGTATGTTCCGGGCGAGTATATAATATTCCGGAAAAGCTTAAAGTAAAATACAAAACTTAAGTTTCCGGAAAAGAAATATTAAAGAATGGGAACAATAAATATTCCGGAAGTGTTTATATTAGTATATTCCGGAAATGTACTACAAATACAATAAAATATTCCGGAAGAGCTTATATTACAAGATAATTTCCGGAAATATAAATATAAAATATTCCGGAAAAATCCTAATTGTAAATATTCCGGAAAAGCATTAGTTTAATTTAATTTATATTCCCTGCCTTTTTAGTATGAAATTTGTGCATGTGAACTTGATCGTCATGTCGCTGCCATAGACAAAGAACACGAGCTTTCTAATTTTTTAAATTAATTATAAAATTTTATTTATCAATTTACAGGTGAGTAAGTCATGTTCACCATCCTTTCATACCACCAACGTTCTTGTATTGCACCGTTACATGCACGTAAAATAATTGCATCATCACAAATCTTAAGGGGAAATATATCTTTATTTTTTCTAATATTTTTATTCACCTCTAAAAAGCATAAAGGAGCCTCAGCATTTGAACCTTCATGAACTGCAAAAACTTGTTTTTGAATAAGCCTGCTTACAAGGGGTTTTAAGGGGATTTTTCCGGTTGGAGGCTAAATTTAATTAAATTTTAAAAAAATTCTGGTAAATTAATTACCAAGGTAATAAGCTCATCCAATAATTGGTTAATACGCTTGGAGTAAATTAAGCCTATGTGTGCCTTTCCAAGCATACGCCTAACTTTTTGTTGGATTGTACGTACAGGAACGTGACATAAATGCATCTGAGGAACAAAGGAATTTTCTTTGAAAAAATATTTTTCCTACCATAGCAGTCATATTATGCAATAATGTAGCCAATATTCTATCCTCTTCAAGCTCCAACCTTTTACGGTCTGCTTCACTTAGTTGGGAATAACGGTCAATCATCTCTGCAGGTTCTTCATCCATCTTATTTTAAAAATTTTTTAATTTAAAATAAATAATTACCCCTATTTTATCTCGTTCTTGCGCAACCATATCTAAGAAGGCAGTTTCCCAAAAAGGCATTCGCAACCAAAGCATATTCGCGCCAGCCGAAGAAACGTTTGAAGAGGTAGGAAGGCTTCCAAGCAAATCCTGAAGGAAGGAATAGTTTTCCGGAAAATATATTAGACTCAAGAATATTCCGGAAAAATAAAATATGAATAATTTCCGGAAATGTGTATTAATTAATGGAATATTCCGGAAAGAATTTCCAAGAAACAGGGTTTATTATTGAAAAGAGTGTATTTTCCGGAAAATAAATATATATTTCCGTAAGTGTTTTACATAGCAAGATTTTTGTGTTATTCCGGAAAATACAGTTTATTAACTAAAACACACCTGTGTTTTCCGGAAAATAAAATATATACACATACTACAATACCTGATAAAGAAAATTTCTAGGTGGTTGAACATCATTAATAGTAGACAACGTTGTATTACCAGAATTATTATGCAACTCCTCCAAAGTTTTTAAATTTAATGTTGTTGGGGGACTTAATGTTTTTTCTTTTGTTTGTTCTTTTATTTTTTCCTCCACAACATTTTTAACATTTTCTTTTTGTTTATTTTCAATGTGAACTGCATCTTTAACTTTAATTTCATGTGAAGAATTATTTAATAAATTAATTGTTGATAAGGAAATTTTTTCTTCACTTTTTGTGTTTTCTATTGTTTTTGTAACGTCTTTTCTGCCAGTTCCTGTTTCACTTGTTGCACTTCTTGGACGTTGCGGAAGTGGAGGAGGCGATTGTGTAGGGGGAGGAGGATGAGGATGATTTCCCTCATCTTTGGATAGTTCAGAGGAAGATGTGGATTCTATCGTGTTTGTTAAAGGTACATTTCGTGGTGGAAGAGGCTGAATTTCAAAAAAATTTCAAAAATTTTTATTTCAACTTACAGGCGCTCTCATAGGCAACGGAGGCGGCGGAAATTTTGGAGGGGGAATTGTATATACAGTTGAGAGGGATTCTTGCCTTTCTTGAGTTGTTTGAGGCAAAGGACTAATTGGAGGTGGGGGAGGATTAGAAGGAAGGGGTGGGGGCGGATTAGAAGGAAGGGTTGGGGTAAGAGGATGAGCATTTTGATGATTCTGTTGGCTATACAAATTTTCTGTAGAAATTAGTCCGTTCTGTTCCTCTTGGCAATTTAATGTTGTTTCGTTGGGGATTGGACTAATATTTTCTTGTAAGGGAGTAATTTTCTCACAATAAGAGCCGGATGAGGGAGTGCTCATAGCTGCCAAATTGGTGGAAGAGGCTGAGGGGCTGGTTAACTAAAACGATAAAATAAAGCCGAGAAAACTAGATTTAGCTAACCAAGCTTTTTATTCCATCCGTGACACTGTTAAGAGCTCCTCCTCCACTAGGTGTTTGTGATTGTTGTAAAGGTGTCCAATAATGGGTATGGGCAATTTCGAGAACGTGGAAAGCTGAGGCTAAGCCTAGTTGGGAATCTGCCATGTTGAAATTGCTAGAAAAATTTAAGAATTACTAAGGGGGTTTGAAGCTTTTGAAAAATCGGAGAAAATTCCAAAATTAAACTAAAATCACCTTTCTAGCCCAATAATACAAGCTTGTAACAATTTGAGATATCCGCGATATTGAGCTCGACTAAGTTGCTAAAAAAAATTTTTTAATCTTTAAAAATCTTTAAAAATCCCCACCACATCTTGTAAAAATTCATCTTCAGCATAATTAACTTCCAATCCCATATTTAATTTTGAACAAACCAATTCCCTCAAACTCTCATCCTCCAATAATCTTTTTACTTTTGATCCAGAAAATACACCTATTCCCTGTCCAGAAATTACTTGTTCACAAATTTCTAATATTTGTTGTTGACTTTTTCTTAAATTTAAAATAAAAAA